ACGTATTTCGCGCGCATACGACCTTGTCTGCATGTTACGCGCTCACTATTTCGTCCCTTCACGTTGTAAATCTGGAGTGAGTGAGACAAAGTAATTAGAGTGAGACAATGTTAACTTCTGGCATAATGCCATGAGGTTGCTGTCCAAATTGAATTTTTTTGACATGCGAGGGTCCATTGCCTTGGCCGTATCGATCACATAAAGTTGTGCGTTATATTTTGTGGATGGAGTGGACCATAATTGTAGTGATTTTGGACATTAATCTTGAACATTTTGGGACCAGATACATGGCCTAGTCCGGCTTTGTTGGCAACGAATTATGCAAATGGGATGAGATGTGATGGCGCTGTTTTATTTCCGAAAGTTATGTGTGAGTGAGGTTTATAAGCATCGTTATGGTTAATAAAAATCCCGTATAAAGTATGATAAGATTTTATTTTAAGGAGCCTAAACGTTTTAACCTGGTTCATCGTTTTCACAAATATATATTTTCAATAATGTATTCAAATAGTGTTTAAGAGTGTATCAAACCCTGTATAAATATTTTAAAATACTATTTTAAAGGCTTGATGGCTTATATTTCCAAATCTAGCAAACATTTCTCTATGAAAACAAACTTCTATCTAATAAATATTATAAAAATCAAGTCATTTGCTAATCTACTTCACCAAAACCATAGCTTAAACTTACTCCCTGGTTAGTCTATGCCAAAACTTGAACAAGGCTCACATCCTCAACTTAGGCCTACTCCTCTACACTTGCGTGGTTTTTATTGTATGGTACAATATTCTTCCCAATTGTCAAAAACATGTATGCCAATAATCCTACTAACCTCTGACCTTCTTTCTTGAATGTAATGATCTATATAATTAATACGCTACATGAAACTTTGTTGGTTGAACTCCTCCGCCATTTCTCAACCGATTTTATCCATTGACGTCTCATTGGAAAGAGCGTATCACGTAGATTTGCAAACTGGCCTTACATTTTTGAAAAAGTCCCTTGGACTCTGCCCTAGTGGCTTTGAAAGTTCTCATGTTATACTAATGAAGAACATAATTGTTTAAATTTTGATCAGCTGTATAATTTAATTGCTGTTATTTATTTTTCAATTCAATGAAACGCATTGAGTATATTTATTTACTATTTGAGTTTGTGTAAACATAACCCCCAAGACGGGTTGTGTTAGTATGGTTGTATCTTAAATTTGTGAATTTATCGTTGTTTTGTGTAGCTATAATTTGTTTATTTGTTGTTTTTTTTTCTTTTAAATGCCTCCGACTCGACGAAAACGAAACATAGACAGGAGGGGTAATCGTGATAACGACCGCAGCTACAGAACGGTGGCGCGTAATAGGCTTAACTCATCACAGTCAACAAATGACTCTGGACAACCTCAACTATAAGGTTACAAATGTGCCCTAACACTACCCCAAAACGACTTTTCGTTCTCAATTGGCCCTCTATCAATGACCTGTGTTGCCTGTACAGCGAGGCATTTTGACAAGGAGAAAACCTGCTGGAATGCTTTAGGTCCATCAATAACGAAGATAAAAATGGTCTGAGTTACACTCCGGTATATAAACTCATTGTAAATATGACTGTTATTCGTTTTGAAATAACTCCTGTAATACTTAGCAGTTGCACGAATTCGAGCAACATGTACACTAGTAAATGATTATTGAAAGTACGGAAAGTAAATAAAAGAAACGTCTTATAACACTTAAAACATATATTTACGCTTATACTGTTACTCACAAGACGGTAAATATACATAAAAGATGGTAAGTGGTGATCGATTTCGATTGGACACTCCAATCATCATCAGACCCAATAGGTGAATGACAAGAATCTTGAATGGCGTCCCTACTTATACCCTATTGGCTACCGGAAGTACCGGCCAATACATTTTTATAAGTACAACTGAAATCAAAATTTACTTGTTCATTAATCAACTTATTTCTATTTTTACATTTTTCTTGATAAATATACAATTCTTCCTAAGCATTCATTACATATCCTTTCTTCTTTAAAATACATAGACTATCCTCCATTTTTCCTATTGAGTGGCCATTTTGTAACAGGAGTTGTGCGACATTTGATCTTTCTGGTAGGGGTCTGCGGGTCCCCGATTTTTTCGGGTCGGGTCGGGCCAGCGGAAGGCCCGGGATACCGGGTTGGGTCAGAGATTTGTTCGGGCCAAGATCGGGTCGGGCCAAAAAAAATAATTATTATTTTCAAAGTTATAATAAGTTATTTTCAAAGAAACACTCTTATATATATATATTATTACAGAGGAATTAAAACGTTAAAATTAGAATTAAATATTAAGTTTGCTCACGTTTAAGAACAAAGACACAACAGAGCAATTGCCGTACTGGCCAGTCGTCTACTGACAAAAGCCGTGACGCAACAGTGCAAAGAAAACAAAGTCAAAAGAAAGACTTTTTATCCAGAGGTACCAGTTTAATTATTTATTGCTTATTCTATACCTAGTTTAAAATATATTTTAGTATTTTACATAATAAATTATAAACAAAAGAAATATCTGATATAGTGTACAGATCTGTATCTTGTTCTGTGACAGTGAATTTAAATTTCCTGCCAAATAATCAATCTTAGGACGGACGTTGAGTCCAGCAAGCGCCACCGGGTTATCATTACCCTCCCTCTTCCCTGCCACAAGTCGGAGGGAGACGGACGTCTCAAGGAAGTAACCGGGGAGTCAGTATCGTACCGCCAAGTGGTTAAGGTAAATTAGTGTGAAGTTACCCCAGTGTACATGTGCGACAGGGCAGCTGAGACGACCATCGGGCTGGACACCCTCCAAATTGGGTAAGAATCCTTTCAAAAGATTCAAAATCGATTAATTTGGGCGATTTGTATTTGTCGGGGTTTTATATTCAAAATTATCACTAATTTGGTCACCAACTCTCGGTTAGAGGCAAATGTCTCTTACCTCGAGGCTCTAAATCCGTTGAGAAATTTTACACCATATAATCGAGCGGAGGCATCTGTCTCGTCGGCTCGATTATAAAAAGACAATCTTAATTTCGTGTAATGAATCATTTTGGTTAAATTTTCGTTAAGTGAAGAATTAGTAAAATTTTATTTCAGAGTGTTCCATTTTGTTATTCTGTAGGTTAAGGGAGGATAAAGTATGATTTTATTTTCAGAGAGCGTTATTGTATCAGGTATTCCTCAGTTTGAAGTTTCTTGTAGAATCGTGATTCAATATTAGAAGTATTTTATTATCCCACGAAGTGTGTAGTTTGTTAAGTTGTATGTTGTGTTCCGTGTGGGGTACTTATCTCGCATGGCGACACATTTACCGAGAGAATTGCTTTATCGTTTATTCTTTAATTTAAAGACCCTTTTTGTGTGTGCTCTTATTTTCGTATTTTAAAATCCTACGGAGGGTTTAGGTAAAGTGTTGCGTTACGCGTAATATTCCGTGTGGGGTATATGTCTCGCATAGTGATATTACCGTACGTTTGAGAATAATCTGGCTTAACGAAATCAGCTTAGTAGGCGTTCGGTCGTAAGGTCGAGCTGAAGTTCCTCTGTATTTTGTCTCTGAAGTGCGGTGGCCTTTTGGGTAATTTTTACGTGTTAATCCGCGTGAGGCACATGTCTATCCATATTAATTATACCCGCCTTCAGATTAATTCACGTATCAAGTCGTAAGGGGCATTTGTCTCGTACGACGTAATTTGTAAATATGTGTTTTATAGAATATCGGGAGGGGCATCTGTCTCTTCACGAAATCCAGTTTAACGTTCAGCCTGTTAATGTATCGATTCATTATGAATCGGTTACCTTGAGATACCGCTTTACATGTAATAACGTGCTACGATTCGCCCTTGAGGTGTGAAGTGTGTAGTGTAGGTTTGGTGCGAGAAAGGAGCACGTTCCGACAAACTGTGTATCGTTCTGATTGAGTATAGTTTGAAACACCTTTCAGTGTATATATTTCCGTAGTTGTAATGTTAATGTAATAAATATCGATTATTTACTAGATGTGGTTACAATTTTCATCTCCTGAGATATTTCCTTGCCTCCAGACAATGTGAGTTGAAACCGGTAGCAACTCAGCTACAACACAAGATCGCATAAATGCAGGTATTTTACACCAATTTATAGTATTTAAATGCGATCAGGAGGCTAAAATTCAATATAATGAAGTTTTTTTTTTGCTTATTTCACAGGAAAAGGGTGTGATATTACAATGTAAAATAAAACTCTCCGAACGTAAATAAAATCATAAGCAAAAACACGGCAGTAACTTTGCTAACCAATTGATATATGTTTTTTACCAGATTTGATAAAAGGAACTAACATTGGTGAGTAATGAAAAAATGACATAAGAAATTAATTAGCCTAGAAATAAAGATAAGGCGGAACAAGTAGCGATATAGCAAGCAGTTGTCAGTGATGAGTCATGAGTGGGAACCGAAGTGAAGAGGATTCTTCCGTCACGCAATTTCAGATATTTTCCAAATATTTTCTGTTGGTTATGCCCCCAACAAAACTAAAAACTCTTGCCGGGTCCATTTTTAAACGCGGAACTGGTTACTAGATCCCTACTTATTATTTCTACGCCTAAAGGCGCAAATGAATTCAACAACTTTTTAACAGTTATGCAGTTAATGTGTGTATTCAAAATTTACATTTTCTCTAATATACATAGAAAAAATATTCTCAACATTATGTATTTTTCAAAATTTTAAATTAGTGTAGTTTTTTCAATGTCTAGCCTTTATATCGTAGGGCGTTAAGATTTTAGGCCAGAGCTGTTTTGCACATTGCTTTAGACTCGGCCTAGCCATTAATGATTGGCAGGATTTAAACCTGGGACCTTGGGAATAAAGCTCTGCCCTCGACCACTAGACTTGCCTGTTCCTCAAAATTATAGTTTATTGTAATTTTTTTTTTAGAAAAACTGTATTAAAGGAGTTTTAAAAATATCTTTTTGTGGTTTGCTGAAATTATTAGATTACCTTGTCTTATCTTCAGAGGCCACTGACATGTCCCATAAAGTCTTGTGTTCCTTCATATCATAGAGAGCTATGGAGCCGACTCTAGAGCCGCACACTAAGTATCTCTCATTCTTGCTCACCCAGTCCAGACATAACACTGCTGCCTTGTGACTGTGGCTTGATAGCAATCTATAATACACATCAAACATATCAACAGTTAAACAACAATACAAATCCTTTTAATTAGCAGTAAAAATAAAATTAAAACTGAACATTCAAAATTTAAATTGCTTATTTTATTTTTAGGGGTCTTGTCAAAGTCACAAAAACGTTAAAAACCACTTTTGGCATATCTGCCAGACCCAAAAGACACCATAGTCAGTGACGATTCTAGGTCCTGGTCAAGGGGAGGGAGGCTAAGGGGGTGTTTCACACTAGGAGTGGGGTGGGGGGTCCTGGCTTTAGCCTCTATAGCCCCACGCCTTGGAACCGCCACTGACCATACTTGCAATGAACTTTCAGATTTATATTTTTCAAAATGCTCAAACAACGCCCTGATTACAAAAATAATAATTTACTGGAAAGCCTCAGAAAATGACATGAAATAATCAGAAAAGCCATAAACACTATTAATAAATTTTTTTAAATGTATATTTAATAAATTGTCTAGCAAAAACCCACATAAATTAGACAAATATGAAAAATCTGGAATATAGAGAATTAAATGTCTAAATTTTCCCAAATTCTACATTGGTCAGATTGGAAGAGCATTTTCATGCAAATTTAAAGAACATATCAAATAATGGTTAAAAACGTACCTTGTCAGACAATCCTTGACATGTTTTATAGTGTCGAAAATAAACTTGCTACATGTTTCGGTGGTTATTAAATTCCACCATCGTCAGGCACACAAAAGGATCCACTTCTTGAGGTGTCGTCAGAGTTGTTACATACATTTAACACGAACACAAAACACGAAACGATTAAATACACGGTAACAGATAGGCCTATCAACTTATGCACGTACATTGCCGCGGGCAGGACTGGAAGCAGACTGAACCAGGTTATTAAGGACCGACGTGGACTCTGGATTGTCGTCTGCGTTATCAACAGCTGATGTAGGACTACTGTAGTGACGGAGTAGAGTGTTGAAAATATAATGGGATTCATAATTGAGTTTTTCATTCAAAATTTGTGTGCTGTCCCTGGTTTTTAGGTCCTAATATATTTCAAACTCCTCCAAGGTATTTAATAAGTTTCCTTTCCCACAGTAATGTAGAATGTCTAGACCGTCATTTATATCCAGCATATCATGGTTATTGTCAATAATGTGCTGAGCGAATTTGGATTTCTGCAATTTAAGTGTAGGGGCTGGTCGATGCTCTTTGTATCTTATTTTGAAAGCTCTCCCACTTTGTCCTACATAAGTGCTCGGGCAATCAGCACATTTTATGCGGTACACACCTGTCTTTTCGTATTTATCAACATGTGGGCGCTTGCCTTTAGATATGTTCTGCAGCCGATTTGTAGTTTTAAACGCTAGTTTAACACCATGTTTATTGAGATCTTTCTTCAAATAGTTGTTTATTTGGTGGTTGTATTCAACGCAGCAATACACTACTTTGTTATTATCATTATTTGCTGGCATGCGGCATGTATTTTCCTTTTTCTTTGCAACGATTTTGTCTACGATCTCAGATTTGTATCCATTAGCCACGGCAATGTGTTTTATTACACATTGCCGTGGCTAATGGATACAAATCTGAGATCGTAGACAAAATCGTTGCAAAGAAAAAGGAAAATACATGCCGCATGCCAGCAAATAATGATAATAACAAAGTAGTGTATTGCTGCGTTGAATACAACCACCAAATAAACAACTATTTGAAGAAAGATCTCAATAAACATGGTGTTAAACTAGCGTTTAAAACTACAAATCGGCTGCAGAACTATTGAGGTTAAATCTGTGGACCTTATTTAAATTATAATACTTGACTCTTCAAATAAACAATACTTTATTTTATAACTTTAAAACAGAACACTTACAAACTTGTACAACTCATAAGCACATAAAATTGTTTTTTTTCAACTAGGAAGTTGCTATGCCAACATAACAACAAGTTTATAAACATATGAAAAAGTCTTTAGTTAAACATAGAATAATAATTGAGTTAGTGTATTATATTTTTATATATTTTTATATTGCTTCAACACCCTCCCTCAATATCAAAATATATTGTCTTCTTACAAACAGTTTTAAACAACATTCATCTTATTTCTGAATGTCTGGAACTTTGGTTTACACAGAGCTTTTGTTAATATATCCGCCAATTGGTTTTCAGAATTAATATACTTTAAAACAACACTTCCCTTTTTGACAACTTCCCTTAAAAAATGATATTTGACATCAATGTGTTTAAGTCTTTTGTTTTCTAGACTTCCTGCAACAGCTATTGCTGATTGATTATCTTCATCATGGATGGTCACAGCTTCACTGGTTGATACATTTAGATCTTCTAGCAGATGTTTGAGACATTGGGATTCTGTTATTGCCAAACTAAGTGCAATATATTCTGCTTCGGTTGAGGATAACGCCACTGAAACTTGCTTCTTTGATGTCCAGGATACAACACAGTCAGATAGTAGAAACAAATAGCCAGATGTAGATTTACGATCAGTTAAATCGCCTGCCCAATCAGCATCCGCAAAACCTTCCAATATAATGTTTCCACTTTTATTCTTATAGAAGGTTAAACTCTTGTCAATTGTACCTTTGACATATCGTAAAACTCGTTTTAAAGCAGTCCACAATTCTTCGCTTGCATTACTTTGGAAGCGACTTAGAAACGAAATCGGATAGCAAAGATCAGGTCTTGTCCCAATCATTGCAAACATCAAACAACCTATTAGTTTACGGCACTTGTGTTCTAGTTCTTTGTCACACACTGAATTGTTCAAATTTATTTTAAGATTAGGATCCATTGGAGTAGAGACTGGTTTGCAATCCTGCATACCAAATTTTTGTAGCACTTGTTTTAAATAAGCTGTTTGATTCAACGTTGTTACTCCGGTTGTCAAATCATGATCAATCTTTATTCCCAGGTAAGTTGAAACTTGACCCATATCCTTCATTTTGAAATAATGACTCAGTTTTGATTTGAATTTCAAAATTTCATTTTCACAGGATCCCACTATTATTAGATCATCCACATACAGTAATACATACAGTTTATTTTCATCAGTCAGTCTTGTGTACAGACAATAGTCACTATTAGACCTTGAGAAACCTTCTTTTGTCATTATTTCAGTGAACTTTTCATTCCAATTTTTGGGAGATTTCTTCAAACCGTAGATTGTCTTGTTTAGTTTTAAAACAGTAGTTTTACTTTCAATATGTTCAACTCCAGGAGGTACAGATAAATATACATCTTCTGTCATGTCACCGTGTAAAAATGCACCTGTCACATCCATTTGGTGTACTGGTAAACTCTGTTGATTAGCTACAGCCATTAATACTCGCAATGTTGTCATCTTAGCGACTGGAGCATAGGTTTCAGTTGTATCGAAAGATCCTTGTTGTTGAAATCCACGAGCAACAAGTCTTGCTTTATATTGTACTGGTTGACCATCATCATTTTTCTTTAACTTAAACACCCATTTAGCATCTATGGTTGAAATATTTCCAGGATCTTCAACTTCAGTCCACGTATTGTGTTCTTTTAGATTATTAATCTCTTGCTTAATTGCTTCTTTCCATTTATCTGCATCTTCACGATTCATTGCACTTTCATATGAATCAGGTTCATCTCCTTCTAAGGAAGTCATAAAATTAACTTCATAGTTATCTAATTTTACAGGTCTTCTTAGTTGGTTTCGGTTTCTTAGTTTCATATTAGTTGTATTTTCTTCTATATTTACATTTTCTTCAAGCTCTTGATTGTCTTCTACAGGACCTAGGTCTTCTTCACATTCATTTTCACTTTGGTCTACTTCATCATTATGTAATACATCAAGTCGATAATCTGTATCTTCTGTTTCTTTCAGGGACGATACAGCGTCAGTTTTAGTCTTCATTGTATTTTCAACAGGCTCATGGAATATAACATTGCAGCTGATTTCAACCTTGTTTTCTTCAGGAATGTATATACGGTAGCCTTTAGTAGTTTCACAGTATCCAACAAACAAACCTTTCTTAGATTTTTGATCCCATTTCTTACGTTTTTGTTTTGGCACATGAATATATGCATCACATCCAAAAACCTTCAGTGATTTGATGTCAAAGTCTCTGCCCATCCACAACTGATATGGTGTACTGTCCTTTACACTACTCTTCCCAACTCGGTTTAGGACGTATACAGCTGTGTTGACTGCCTCTGCCCAAAACTTCTTATTTAGTCCTTTTGCTGACATCATAGCCCTAGCAGAATTAACTATGGTTTGCATTTCTCTTTCAATAGAACCATTTTGTTCAGGACAATAGGGAGCTGACTTCTCATGCTTGATACCTAAACTTGACAACATATCTTCAACTTCTCTATTTACAAACTCAGTTCCACAATCCGTTCGTAGCACTTTGAATGTTTTTCCTATTTGATTTTCAACATGACGAATTAACTCTTTTAATTTGCCAAATACCTCATCTTTTGTCTTTAGAAAGTAAACAAATCGATAGTGTGAAAAATCATCTTTTAGCAACAAAAAATACTTGGAACCACCAATAGAATTTTCTTCCATTGGTCCGCAAAGATCTGCATGAATTATCTGTCCAATTTCTGTTGACTTGTTTGGACTAGTCTTAAAACTTGAGCGTTTCTGTTTAGCAAGGACACACGGTTCACAAAAGAATTCTTCATTAGGTTTATTTATAACCTTAACGTTACTTGCCTCCAGTATTTCTTTTACTTGACGACAATTTTGATGAGCCATTTTTTCATGCCATAACTTTAGACTGTTATCTTCACTTAATTGTACATAAGCAGGTACAGACTTATTGTCAAATGAAAATTGCATCTTATACAGTTTTCCAAAACGTTTAGCCACAGCAGAAACTTCATTGTCTTTGTTCATGATTTTAGCTTCATTTTTATTTGTGCTCATAAAATATCCCTTATCTAGTGTTGAGCTCACAGAGAAGAGATTAACTTTCATTTCCGGTACATATAACACATCTTTTAGAGTTACAGAAATTT